TGAAAATTATATTGAGTAAAGCTATTCCAGGCAAGTACAAACATGAAGTAAAATATTATAATTACATTTTTTTTTTTGGAGAAGTTTTTGCTATAGAGTGCATGTGCTTGCCAGACAGACAGAGAGAGACAGAGAGACAGAAAGCAAGAAATCACCCCCCAGGGGGGACGGCCACGCGCAATCCTTTCTCCTCCATTCTCCTCTCGGGATCTTGGGCACGCACGCACACACACCTGGCATGAGTTTAAGCCACCGGATCTGGGATGCGAACCACGGTCGACTACGTGGGAGTCCAGAGACATAGCCATTATGCTAACTGCTGGTCCCAAGTATTATAATTACTATTATTAGAAATAATAAAATTTAAGGTGAAAACACGACAAAGAGGTAAATTACATAAGGATAAATGTGCAATCCATAGTCACAAACTTTTATAAACAAGATTATAGTAACAATACAGACAGTATAAAAATGAAAGAACTGGATAAAATAAAGCATTATCAGACTACTTTAATATATTCATCATGGCATGTAATAAATCAAACAAAAATAAGAATATATGTGTATTATATTGTATTGTAAATGGAGTCAGAATGGTTTCGTCTGATTTCCTCAGCTATCTTATCATGATTGATAGCCATAGGGTAAACAACTTATGCTATTAGTTGTAATGTGCTTGTTATGTAATTACGATGTTTCTGTTTTACATCATTGAATATAAAGCACATGTGCGTGTGTGACAGTCTGGTTTTGCCAATAAACCACTACTGTCTGCAGCCCCTTTAGGAGGAAGCACTTGTGCGCCCTGCCCAGCTAGCTAGCCCTGCTCTGCTGCTCCTCTTCGGTTCAGACTGGTGAGCCCTAATGGCTTTGGCTTGGCTTGGTGCAGCTCCACATGTTATGAGCTCCTAGAAGGAGGAAGCACTCTGTGAACATTCTCCATGTGAGTCACAAGCTCTAAAAGACAGGAAGCACTTGCAAAAACTGCTATGGGTTTTGTGAGCTTACTAAGAGCTCCATGAGCTCTCCCTAAACTGAGCCAAGAAACAACATGACATCAGCACCTCACATCTTTCTCTAACTCCCTGTATCTCTGTTCAACCCATCCTTCAGTGGAAAAAACAACCTCATAAGATATGTATCTATTTATTTTCATATCTATACATCACTACACTGTGTACAATAAAAACAATAAAAACATAAATTATCTTGTAATATTTAGAAAAAACATTTTATTCAGCCAACCATTAAACTTTAATGAAGCCAAGAAAGTGAAGATATTATAAGACAATTTACTAGTTATTTAATAGCATTAGACATAAAAAGAAGCAGTATTAGACAGTAGTTGTGAACATAAACTCTATAGTTAGCCTAATTTTGTGATATTATTGAGTTATCAGAAAAGTCATGACATATATTTTTTAAAGAATTATATTCTATTTAACTTTATTTGTTTATTTACTTATTTTTAATTTGACCAGAGAGGGACAGAACAAGAGAGAGCAAGAGAAGGAAAATGAGAAAGCAAACTGCCAGGTGTGCTTGTTATGTAATTACGATGTTTCTGTTTTACATCATTGAATATAAAGCACATGTGCGTGTGTGACAGTCTGGTTTTGCCAATAAACCACTACTGTCTGCAGCCCCTTTAGGAGGAAGCACTTGTGCGCCCTGCCCAGCTAGCTAGCCCTGCTCTGCTGCTCCTCTTCGGTTCAGACTGGTGAGCCCTAATGGCTTTGGCTTGGCTTGGTGCAGCTCCACATGTTATGAGCTCCTAGAAGGAGGAAGCACTCTGTGAACATTCTCCATGTGAGTCACAAGCTCTAAAAGACAGGAAGCACTTGCAAAAACTGCTATGGGTTTTGTGAGCTTACTAAGAGCTCCATGAGCTCTCCCTAAACTGAGCCAAGAAACAACATGACATCAGCACCTCACATCTTTCTCTAACTCCCTGTATCTCTGTTCAACCCATCCTTCAGTGGAAAAAACAACCTCATAAGATATGTATCTATTTATTTTCATATCTATACATCACTACACTGTGTACAATAAAAACAATAAAAACATAAATTATCTTGTAATATTTAGAAAAAACATTTTATTCAGCCAACCATTAAACTTTAATGAAGCCAAGAAAGTGAAGATATTATAAGACAATTTACTAGTTATTTAATAGCATTAGACATAAAAAGAAGCAGTATTAGACAGTAGTTGTGAACATAAACTCTATAGTTAGCCTAATTTTGTGATATTATTGAGTTATCAGAAAAGTCATGACATATATTTTTTAAAGAATTATATTCTATTTAACTTTATTTGTTTATTTACTTATTTTTAATTTGACCAGAGAGGGACAGAACAAGAGAGAGCAAGAGAAGGAAAATGAGAAAGCAAACTGCCAGGTCCAGGACTTGAAACACGGTCAGCCATGTGGGTGTCCTGTGCCCTCAACCACCACACCTCCTGCCAGCCCCAGATGACATATTTTTTAATGCAAAAATATGTTATGACTTTTTCCACAACCCAATAGGAAGTTACTAACCTTCTCCCTTCCTTGCTTTAACCACCAGTCATATTAAGATAGTAATAGTTTCTACATCATAGGGTTCTTTAGAGAATTAAATGTCTTGCTCTATATAAAACATTTAGAAAAAAATGTTCACGTATAGTATAAATAATGTTAGTATAAATAAATATTAGACAAAAAAGTTAAAATACATGCTTTCAAATAATACTTTAGAAATCAAAACTTGCCTGATATAAATTTTAAAAATAAAAGGAACAGACTTTAAAAGCAATGAATGGAAGACATCTATACCTATAAAAAAGGAAAAAAAATGTAGTGCTGTGTTCTTATTTTTTAAAAATAAAAGGAACAGACTTTAAAAGCAATGAATGGAAGACATCTATACCTATAAAAAAGGAAAAAAAAATGTAGTGCTGTGTTCTTATTATTTTTTTAATGTTGAAAATAAATGAACTGAAAATTAGATTTTAGAAATTAAATATTGAGAGAATTAAGTCAGAAAATAAGATAAATTTCTGTTAGCAACAGGCCAAATTTTCTACCAGTAGGAAAGAGTTGCAAAATGGTAGATTTTTAGGAAAGTTCCAATGTCTGCATCTTGGAAAATGGGAAATATTTCTAACTAGTTGAGAAAGTACTGTTGGTCTGTGTCAAAGACCCTGGTTGAGGATATAAATAATAATCACAAAACCAACCACCTTGGCCATGGAATTTTCTATAACATAAATCAGTAGTACAGAAGCAGATATAACTAAACTCAGGGGCTGATAATTCAGGATATTTAAGGACTACAAGGAGAAAGCACTGAAGGGCACCACAGAGAGTGAAGTTCCTAACCAAACAGTCTGCCCTGGCAGCAAGGAAGTAAAACCAGGAGAGGAATGAAAGAAGAAGATTGTGCAGGACTGGAGATGATTTTATCATTCTGTCTTACCTCTAAAATATTCTTCTTCAACAGTTGTTTTCTATTGAATAAACAATTGAGAATATACTGTTTTCATTGACATTAAATCCGGGTTTATTAGTGGCAAATTTTTATTCCATTTTTACTAAACTTACTGAAATTCAGTACTTCCTATGTTATCTTTGTCACCAATGTGTGGGAGGCTGCGCACCGGCGAGTCTGCCGAGGTTTCTCAGAGAGCAAACAATTGCCATGATTGGTTCCCTTCAAAAAAAAACCTGACCTTCGAAACTTTGCTCTGATTGGCCACTAGAATCCCTCAAATTTGCATATCCAGCACCTCATGATTGGTCCAAAAGCAACCAATCATAACCCACTGTTTACAACCAATCAGGGCCCACCGTATACAACCAATCAGGGCCCACCGTTTACAACCCACCAGAGTGTATATAACCAAGATGCCTGGCCCACAGTAGCCAGACCACACAGACGACCAGGAAGACAATGACCAGGACGACACAGACGACCAGGAAGACAACACAGACGACCAGGAAGACAACGACCAGGACGACACAGACGACCAGGACGACACAGACGACCAGGACGACAACGACCAGGAAGACGACGACGACCAGGAAGACGACGACGACCAGGAAGACGGCGACTGAAGATCCTGAAGAGCTGACACTACTGCTTCGTCTCTGTGCTGCTCACAGTAGATGACGCGACCCTTAAGAGCTGTGACACTGCGTCATCCCCGTGCTGTACCGTGCTGCCCACAATAAATGGACGACACTGTCGTCTCTGTGTTGTAACACTACTCCGCTTGTCCTGGCTCTCACTCCTTCACTCAGGAAACCTGTTCGGCTGTCCCCCCCGGGTCGGGCCACCTGGTGCCCGAACAGGGACGGGACACCAATGGAAATTACCAATATTTTTACATGGCATTGCATTCATGGGAGCTATCTCTCACAAAAGGATCTATGACTTTCACTACATTGAAATTACAGTATTATTAGAGACACTTAGATTTCTATATATTTTCTATATATATATTAATATGCATATATGTTACTTTAAAACAAATTTGTTTAAATATTTTGATAACTATATTTCAATATGATTAATTTTCTTTGTAATCTTGTAATACAGTTTATGCTTTTAAAAATATTTTGAGTAGTCTGTAGAGAAAGATACTGATGGCACGATAAACAGGCTTTAGATAGTAACACAGCTGATAATTACTGTGTATAGGATAAGCAGAGCTATGACAGCATGTGCTTTCTGTACCCGTAAACTATAGCCTTCAGCAGTTGTACTTGTTTGGCAAAGACTAGTGCTATTCACCCATGTCTTACATTCAGGTTCTGTGTATTACGACATTTGAGAAAGCCACAACTGTACTAGGAACAGGAAGTTGTATTATTTCCTTTTTTTCTTTATCAGTTTATATTTCTTGTGGCTGCCCTACTTAAATTCAGTATGTTGACATTTTACCAGGCATACTATTTTTACCTGCCCAGGATTACTTCACCTGTTTTTGTTAATACTATGATTTTCCTTGGAGACATGCACCATTCCCTCCATCAGTTTCTGTGCTTTGAATGGAGCCAGCTCCATCTACAACTTACATCCGTGATGCTGGACATGGGGTCAGTGTCCCTTGGTAAGATTGATGGACACTTGACACATCTACAATGGATGGGACTTAATTCTAGATTTAATTTTTTCCCCTTTATTTCTGATGAGCATGCACATGAGAGAAAGAGAAGTAGTGCACCTTCCACTGGGTCTGGTCATGCCACAGTTGACTTCCTCCAGTCCTCCAGTCCGTAAGATCTCGGGTGCTCATGTACCTAGCATGTTTCAGGCCAGCCAGGTTGGATATTCAAAGTCTGGTCAGTATCTGGGACCCAATTTCCCTTTAGCAATGCTTTACCACTTGCACTATACCACAGAGCAGGCCCAATTCTGGAATCTTACAGTCTTACTTCCTCCTCGGGTTTCTAAGAGAGAAGGTTGTGTGCCTAGGGCAGCCATCTTTCCATCAAGAGGAAAGAAACTGAGAACAGAAATGATGCAGAAGAATGCAGCTAAGAGACAGGAGAGAAAATAAAAACAACTCACCCCAAAGACACAATTTAAGACATACCTGAGGCCATGGCACAAGTAGTACAATTGGATCCACATGGGAAAAGTACTGGTTTCACTCCTCCTGCCTCCCTGAGCACGCTGGGCCTGTACTAGTGGGTCTGTGATCTGGGCCTGCCAAGATAGTGGGTACAGAGCAGTGTTAAAACCTGAAATTTATTCTACTCTTCAATATGGGGGCTACCAACTCTGTCTTTATCTTAAGCCATTCTAAGTTGGCTTATAGCAAACTGAACTGTTACATTGGCAAAACTTATATAAGTGTACTGACTCAAAGCCTTTAAAAGAAATAATTAATTTTATATTATCATTCTTTTGTTAAAAATAATTAAGTCTAGACATGCAATAAAGTTGCCATTTGTAGATCTCTGTTATATAAATTCCTATTACATACTTAATATTTTAGCAACCATGGCTACCTTATGGGGTGATTTTGGTCCTTGGTTTTTGGCATCTGCTGACCAAGAATTGGAGATACACCAGCAGATAAGTAGATATCAACAGTACAGAAAACATTTTTTTTTTTTTTTTGGAGAAGTTTTTGCTATAGGGCGTGTGCGCTCGCCAGACAGACAGAGAGAGACAGAGAGACAGAAAGCGAGAAATCCCCCCCCAGGGGGGCTAGCCATGCCGCAATCCCTTCTCCTCTGTTCTCCTCTTGGGATCTTGGGCACACACGCACACATGTCCAGCGTGAGTTTAAGCCACGGGGTCCAGGACTGGAACCGCGGTCGACTATGTGGGAGTCCAGTGACATAGCCATTACGCTAACTGTTGGTCCCCAGAAAACTTATTTAGCTAAGCAAAGCGAAATATACCCTCAGGAAGGGAGAGTGGGCTAGTTCAAGTCAGGCTAGCCAGACCCAGGGTCATCTGGTTGGGCATCTTTTATGTTGATTACCTCTCCTGGACCCTCCCTGAGTGGCCCCATCAATCAAGGAGTCATCTTTGATTGACAGCTAGGGACTACAAACTTAGAGGCTTCTGTACACGCATTTTTCCCAGAAGGCATCATGAAAGTCCATGGGGCATCAGGGACAGTGAGAAGGGATCAAAACCACAATGCTGATACCAGGTAAGTGAGCCTTGGTAGTGTTGGGGCTTGCTGCAGGCCCAGCAGCATGTTCCACCTTGAGGCAAGGCAGGGAGGAATTTGGCCTTGAGACAGACTGATAAGGACTTTGCCAGAGTTGTGGGCGGGGATGAGGGGTGGGGTGTGGGGAGGTGATGCCCTTTCTACTAGTAATTATGGAACTCAGGTGAGACTGATCCAGGAGGAACTTTTCTGTCTGAGGTGGGCAGGCCTGTGTCATCCTGCTCATGTCTAGCTGCTACCTGACAGAACAGATTCTATCAATGCCTTTTACGAACGAGTGAGTAACTTCCAATGTTAAGTCATTTATCTGGACCGATAGAAAAAACAGTGTTACAGTTCTGATTTGTTGGACTCCACAGTCCATGCTTTTTCCTTACGTACTCTGAAGGCAAACTATAATTTTGTATTAGTATAAAATAAACATGAATATGCGATCAGACACTCTTACTTGTGTACCTGTGCAGACACAAACGCTCCTCTCTCATATCCCTATCTATGAATTCTTGCCAAAGCAGCATTTTTTATTTCCCAAGCATCTGTTACAGAAAGGGCTCAGATGTGATTTAAACACGGAAGCCTCATAACTCCCAAAGGAGAGTTACGTGAGAAAGAGCAGAGTCAGAATAAAACGTGAGATAAATAATGCTTCTCCTTGATGCTTGGAGAAAAACGGTCAAGTGATGAACACAGAAATGAATGATTACCTTTTCAGTGAAATGGAGAATTTCTGCAGCCCTGTAAGGAGTCATTTTTCACACTGTAGCTGCAATGGGAGGGTGTGAGAAACTATAGTTGAAGGGACACAATTTCCAAGCCTAGTGGAAGTGTGATATAGGTAATAGAATATTCCTTTGGGAAGATGTGGCATACTAATCTAATTCTAGTGGAACTTGGATTTGCCATATAATTTCCTCTGCTGTGTAGGCCTTTTCTTCTTTTCTGTAGCCTCTAATTACATCAAACACCATTAATGATGCTAATGAATGAAGTGGAAACTGAGCATGCCCAGGTGTCTTGGAAATTCTTGGGTTGCATTTGGGAGACTTTCACACACTTTAGTATTTCCATTGGGGGGAAAAAAAGGCTTTTTCATGAATGTGCAGCATATGTACAATTTCTCTTGTGATTTGGCTTCTGGGCTTTCTTATAAGCATAGTATTTAGAGATCAGCACACTCAGGAAAAATAACTGAATTGTAACACAGTGTAAGTGTGCAGCTCAGGAAAGACTGGTGAGAAAATGGTGATGTGCAAGGCTGAATAGAATTGGTAATGCATTTAGGAAAGAAGACAGAAGCTCTACACTTTTTAATTTATAGACACACACGCACGCACACACACACACACACACACACATATATATATATATATATTTAATGTTTTTCCATAGGGTGCATGCTCCCAGAAAAAGCAGAGAGACAGAGTGAGCAGAAAAGTGAGAAGTTAACCACCAGGAGGGATGGTCATGCCACAATCCCTTTGTCTCCAATCTCTCAGGATTTGGGACAGGCACACACATGTGTCTGGTATGATTTTTAAGCCTCCAAGTCTAGGACTCAAGTGGCGCTCAGCCATGTGGGAGTCCAGCGCTTTAACCATTACTGCACCTGTTGACCCAGAAGTGCAAGTCTTATTATGAATAGTTTTAGCTAAGAACAGCTGGTATATATCCATATCCCTGTTATCCAAGCATACAGCCTCAGTCATCCAGCCTGATAGTGCCTATTTCCCCAAGCAAGAGAATGGTGTTTCTTGCTGATCTAAATTCCCTTCTTTGTAAACTGAATGCTGTCCTATCTAACTTACTTTGATGAAGTTACTAGAGGCTTATAATATGATGCACCAATTACATTACAAATTAATACTTGGTTTATTACTCTTGCTCACTTATTTCTAACTCTATAGAAAATGCACAATGCAAGAATTGCATTAATCACTCAGGTTGCTGTTTTCTTATTTATTTATTTATTTATTGAGAGATTTTTGCTATAGGGCACATGCACTCACCAGAGAAACAGAGGAAGACAGAGAGACTGTGGGGATGGCCATACCGCAGTCCCTTGTCCTGCATTCTTCTCTCAGGTTTTATACTTGGTGTGAGCTTCAAGCTGCTGGGGCCGGGACTTGAACCATGTTTGACTACATGAGAGTCCAGGGACATAACCATTATGCCAACTATTGGTCCCTGCTTTTTTTTTATTTTTAAAGCTTATTTATTTTATTCTTCCATGAGGGAGAGAGAGAGAGAGGGGCCAAAAAATAAACCTATATATATATACCAAAATAACACCCTTGATGGTGTTGATGCCACAAGTCATACACTCCTAGTCTCAGCCAGCTCTAGATCATGGGCATGTACATGCTCCAGACACTCAAAGAGGTCTCCAAATGTGAACTGGGAATGTCCCTATACGGGGCAGCCTCACAGAGTGTGGCATTTTCCTACTGCACTACCATCTAGCCCCACTTCTATTTTATCGTAGAGAGTAATCCAATGACTTTGGGCTATTTATTAAGATTTATGGAATTTATATACATGCTAGAAACTTGTAGAAAGGAAAAATTCCAGTATCTATGTTTACACTAAAATAAGACAAATTTAAATGATCTATTTTGCTTCAAATTTTCGAATATTGCACAAAATGAAATTAATTCAAACCATTCAATTTCCCTAATTTTAAAGTGTTAATATTTACTAGCTAGGAGTCATTTAGTAATATAAAATAACACATCAACACTTCAATTGATCAATTTCTATGACCTAGAGATAAAGTGTAGACTTAGCCCTTTTGTATTAAATCCTATTAACAAAGATGTTGGTGAAAAATCATTCATTTGCATTTAATGTAGAAGCCATAAAAATCTACTTGCTAGATATGTAATCGGTAAAGTTTTAATATCTACTTCAGCATTTGGTAGAACTATAAGTTGAATTAAGATAAAGGATAATTGCAATTTTGCCTGTATTCTTTTTATTTATTTAGGTTTTGCCATAGGGTTCATGTACTTAACAGAGACAGACAGAGAGAGAGGGAAAGTGAGAAATCAACTTCCAGCAGAGATGGCAATGCTGCAATCCCTTCTCCTTCATTCTCCTTTCAGAAATTTGGGCACATATGTACATGTACTCAGCATAAAGTTTCAGGCCACCAGATCCAGGACTCAAACTGTAGTCAGTCATGTGGGAGTGCAGCACCTTAACCTTCATGCCACTGGCTGACCCTGTAACTGGATATTAATGAACACAACCAGGATGTTTTCTGTTTACCTAGTAGCTAATATAATGTTATAAAATAAGTGCATAGTTGTGGGAAAGAAAACAAACAAAAAAAGCTTATTTTGAGTTATGTTGAATATACAAGGAGAGTTAAAACAAATCAAATAAAAGAAAGTGAAGTAAAGAAGGAAAGGAATTCTTTA